GTGACGATACGTATACAATTTTTCACAAATAAAAAAAATAGAGATATTCTGTCTTGGCACTTACTTTTTACAGGAATGAAAGTACGCAATGGACATTTAACATTTTTATTTATATTAGTTGTACAATTCATAAATAAATATTTCATTAGATGCAAAATGATTATCTCTTGATGGGGTGGTTCCTTTATCTGGAAACAACAATTCAGAAAACGTGTTTAGAATTAATGACTATTTTGAATGTCGCATCATACTGATCAAATGCTGATGATAAAATATTTGTTTAATGTTTCTTCTATTATGTGGTAATTAGTTCTGCAAAAAATTGCCGTTTACGTCCAAATATTTCAAACACTCGCCAGAGCGCAGCGTGATGATTTTGCATTCGACATTTTCTGTCGAATACTGCTAACCATCCCAGGAGGCGAAGTAATATAAAATGTACTTGAATTATTAGTCTAAACTGAGCTATTCAACTCGCTCGTAGACGATCTTGTTTATTAGAGTCAAGTTTAGTTAATATCATTATAATTTAAACTATTATTCAATTTTTATGTTACAAAAAGAATTAAACATCGGAAGATTACAAAATTTAATCTCCTAAATTGCCAATATTTCGGCAATGGTTAAGTGACACTTTTAAGGTAAATTATAAAACGAATATTTTACGCAATTTATTGGTACATTTTGCTTTTGTTTCAATCAGACTTGTTTATGCACAAAAAGGGAAGGAGAAATTTATTGAATGTTACCTAGGATACCACATTGAAATTGAATTGTACGTTTAATTTTCCTGTATTGCTTGCTTAGGTGTCGGCGTTGTGAAATTTGAATAACTCCAAAATAAAATCGAATCAAACTACAATTTACCTGAAGAATTGTATCAATAATCAGTTAATAAATTATACAAAAACGTTTCTTTGGGTTTAGACTCTCAAAAAAAACTTACGAACACTCAATTCGGCACGATGACAGAAAAGTACAGGAGAAATCAACGAAATGTGTTTGCGGCTAGATGCTGCAAAACATGGATGTAAAATTTCAAATGATACAGGATTAAGATGTTTTATTGATAAGGGTATGCATCACATCCTATATCATCTTTCATTCCAAATAGCTGTTAACAATATGTGTTTGTTTCTTTCAAATATTCAATGCACATAAATGACGACTGGAATTTCTGTTAAGTCAAATGCATCGTGATCGCTACAATTTTGCAGAATCAGTCGGCCATTTATGTCGAAAATTGCCTCCATGGGAACACGAATCCACTCTGAACGCGCTTCAAGAGCCTTATAAATGCCTGTGAAAATGTGCAATAAGAAGTGTATGAACAGTATGGTAGACATGGCACGAGCCATGGGCGCGACACACAGTGGCGATATTTAGAGTACTGCCTCTGCGACAAATAACAACTATAATCTTGACAGAGGCGCAAATTGTGTAGTTGCCTCGGGCGCATGAGTACCACGATGCGGGCCTGCGTCGTCAATATGGAAACATGGCCATCCTGCTTCCGTACGAAGTGGTGGAGCAATGAGCGATCGCGGAAGAGCGGGTGAGGAGGGTCGGGGGGTCCAGGGGTGGAGCGTGTATGGCAAAGCGTGAGTGGGGGAGGCAGGCGAGGAAGGAGGGGAGAGGGTGGATGTGTGGGAGAGGCGGTGTTTGGAAGGGAGGGCGTGGAGAAGGGGGACTGGAGAGGAGGACGTGGAAGGATGTTAGAAGGTGGGGAGGGGTGCGGAGCGGCAGGAACGTCAAGGGAGCGGGGCTTTAGAGGGTCCAGTTGTGTGGAAGTACAGGGCGAAGAAGTGTCGGGGCGATGCGCATTAACTGGGTTGTGCTGCATTCTGGGTTCTCCTGGCTGGCGGGGGCGGGCGGGGGCCGGGACCGAAAGGGAGGTGGGGTGGGGGTGGAGAGGAAGGCGGGCCGGGGTGGAGGTGGAGCGGGGCGTCGTCCCCGTGAGGGCGGAGGGCGCGGTCGTAGGTTCCTGGAGCGGCGAAGTCACTTAGAGGCGGAGGGCGAGGACGCGCGGGCGGCGGTTGCCTGGGGCGGGGTTGGGGAACGGCGTGCTTTCGCCCACCATCGCCCGCCGGTCTCTCGCGAGCGCTCTCGCCCCAGACCGCACCTGCAGCATCCAAGTTATGTTTTGAAAGGTTGTCGGTAATAACGTCACGGTTACTTGGCTTCCAAACATTAACTAGTTGTTTTCAGTTTAGAAATTTTATGTGAAATTAGAATTGTCTACATTATATTCTTGGAATTTAATGTTTTTTTAGGAAATTTTTTTTGTAATAATTTAAGTGAGTTTTCTAACAGATTTTGTTTTTCTCATTCTCCGCTGCATTTCATTTCTTTTCACCTTGTATCAAACGTGGATTAATATTTCCTGTTATTATCGTTTTCCGTTCATTGCAGAAAGTTATTTCAAATGCGTAGATGTATAACATATTTAAACAAATGTAAAACATTCGCGTTTTTTTCGACCTCTAATTATTTTTAATACCCAAGTCTTGAGGAAAATAAAAACAGGGGTGGTTTTAACTATCATTGACGTATTTCTAATGTTTACGTGAAGTTCCAAACTATTATATGTACTTGTTAGTTACGTACATTCAGAAGTCTGTTTCAATGTGTACAAATGAACATTTTGAGTTTGTAGGTGGTATATCCTAATCATTAGTTAGAGAGACATTTCATATGAGTTTACGTGCCTTTTTCTGTAGAATTTGTGTAAATATAATCGTGAACCCTGAGATTATTCATAATATGCTGCATAAAATAGATGTTGATTCGTGTCTTGCCAGTTTTTCATTAAAGGACAGTTTTAAATAGGGCTACTTTGCGGTTCGCGTCTTGCAAAATAAAATTTTAATTTCCAATCAACTTTGTAAACAATTCCGCACAGAAGTGGAGCAAAATTTTTTCTTTTTTTTCTTCTTTTTTTTCAATTTTTGTCATTTGACCGACGCTTTCCTTGTTACTTAGTATGCCACAGGGAGTTGGGGCGTAGCGTTGGAGGTGCGGGGACGGGGGCGGGGGGCGGGCGTGGGCGGCCGGCGTAGGACAGGCGGTAGTCGCGAGGAGGCGGTGGGGGGCGGCTGCCAAGCTGGAAAGCTCAGATGGTCCGAGAAGCGCAGCGGCGCATCTGCAGTAGAGAACACAGATAGTGATACTCAGTCCGACTCAACTGATGAATCTGCAGCGGCTTCTGACCGGGAGGTCCTGGGAATCAGGATTTGCGACTACGGCTTGGTCAGGCTTAGGTCGAGTTGAGTACGCAGTTGGAGAAGACGTTGGTTGCTCTGATAGGTATTTTGCGAGGTTTCTCCGGTACGACAGACGAAAGCCGGAGCAGGTACCTAACACCGGTGCGCGATAATTTTTTCATCTTGTCCCTAATCCTACTCCTTACCACACTTACACCTCCTAGTCACACTCACACCTGTCGAGACCTTTTGCATCGGTGCGAAGCTGGTGGAGCTACGCTGATTGGGGAAAAATACTGAGCTTGACGAGTATGCGAGCAGCGACCGCAATGTCAGGAATCATTGCACACATTCCGTGATATACCATGCATAACTTATTAGGATCTAAGCATCTCAGCAGTTGAGCTTCGGAACACTAGACTATATGAATTTTTTATCATTAGGGATAAGTTCAATAGACCCGCGGTTGTTTTTTTTTTTATCGGGTTTCCGATACGAATAAAACCGAATTGGTGTTGTACTTTTAATCGATCACGATCTTCGGCGCTATCTGTATTACCGTTCCTTGTCGCCTTCTCTTGCATGCGACATTCTGAATTTATAGTTTTTGTTCCGGAGAACATACTAATTACATTGGTTCTGCAAGAGAATAAAATGTGATACTTTATAGAAGGGACGAAACACACCCTCCCCACATATAACATGAAATTCGTTTACGGGTCTTAGGAACCTGGCAGTTGACGCGCTCGAAAATATGAAATACAAATAATGAATCAATCAATCATGATAAGAGTCGATACCGAAAAATTGTGACATCATATGTCAACATAAGAACTGTAAAAATGCGAGGTTTACTTACGTGATGATGAATGACCTTATATTAGCATTTCTAAGTAATAAAAGTGTAACCTCGTAACAGGTAAGTCTTATGTTTCTGGTCATCGTTTAAGATATCTTTTTTACTAGATGATTCCATGCAGGTCATACATTATTTATGTAACCGAGGTGTGGGGGTATGACCACAAAGAAGGTGAAAGAATGTTTGTGAGCTTGTTTGTTAGGGTACTGTTCCGACACTACTTGATGTTAACCGGAGCAACTACCGATCAGAGCAGCTGGTCGCTCTAGTAAATGTCTGGATTCCATTTAGCACTCTAGATAAAATAAAAAATCCTGGCACTATCGGAACTTTACTAAACTTCATCATGTGAAATAAAAGATAAGATTAAGAAACATAACGTAAATAATATTTCTTAAATGTCTGTGATCTATAGTAAACAGTTATTATAGAGCAGAATAGTGATAAAAATTGGAACCAAAAAATTATAACAAAAAAGTTGGAAGGAAGAGTTGGAAAAGCGATTCTGTGTTAACAATTTCGACGAGAAAATTCAGAGCCAAATATAAAAATTTATTCAAAATTTACTTCTTTGACTGTTCTATACGAGTAAATACACAAAGTATTTCCGTTCATGGTAGTTTTTGAACGAGTTATTACGCTTAGTCAGGTTGGCGCTGGGAGCCTGCGGACGAGGTCATACGCGGAACCGCGATGTCTCGGGAGCCTTTGGGAGAGTTCGCTCTTGCAGTCGCGCTTTCGGCCATCGCTGGCGCTGACTGATACCTGAGATGTCTTGCGCTGTATCTATGCGCGAGAGAGCTCAGCTCATAACGTAGTCCGCAGCGAGAAGCTGGATCCAAGAGGCGTGACTCACAGACGGTAGCCGTTAAAGTGTAGTGTTTTAGGAAGTAAATGCAACGTGATGTGTCTGACGCTACCGCAGCGCGAACGGGCACCTCCTGCGTGGAGCTGGCGCGCCGCACCACGCCCTTGGCTCTCTGCGCCTGGGGCTGAGCCGGGGCCTGGGCTGGAGGCCTGGCGTCGGCCCTGGCGGGGCTGGCGAGCGGGGGCCGGTACATGAGGCACAGGGAGCGGCGGCGCGGGACGCTGGCCGAAGGGCGGGCGCGGGCCAGCTTCCCCTCCGCGCCGCCCCTCCGCGCCTCCGAACCCGCACCCGCACCCACCCCCGCCGCCTGCAACGATACACACCCTTTAAAACGGTAGATTGGTGTAAATAATAACATGTTGGTTAACCCCGAGGTACTCGAGTTCGGTTTTTTGACGCAAATGCTCAAAAGGGTACTTATGTAGCGGCAGAAAAAATATTATGTTTTTACTTTCTCGATATCACTTACGCAGTTGAGTGAAATGTATGTGATTTGGAGCGAAGAAAACGACTTTTTCGATACGAAGGCGCTCAAAACTGTATTTCCGTGTTAATTTCGAAATCTATTTGCCGCAGCATTACACATATCTTTTCCTAATGCGAATTTTTGGCAGAAAAACTTATTATAGCGCCCTGATAAAAAAGGTGGATAAATGCAATTACTAAATTTTTAAAAAATTTCTTCTAACACGTGGTCTGACCAGAATTCATGTTTTTACGTCCTTCACTCCGACAAATCGAACGACGAGAAAACGTCTATCTGTCCTCCTGGCTATCCCTCCGTCGGTCCATGTGAAAAATCCCTCAACCAATTTTCTCCAAAATTGATATTCTTCAATCGCAATTCTAGCTAATGCGGCTCCTTGAATTTGAAACCGATATTTTAATTTTAATTTTAGGGAGTACATTACGTAAAAATGCATAAATATTTCCAAATTTCCAAAAAATCTCTCCATTGTTTTTGATTAATTTTTTTTGGATAGTGTGAAGGACATTTAATAGAAAGGTGCAGGTCTCATTTTTGGTAAAAGCTCATTATTCGAAAATTGTAAAAATTCAGAAATTTTCGCTGTTTTTCTTTTCTGTAATTTTGCATCAAAATATGGGCGAGAAAGTATGTGCCGTTTAGAACCACTAGTTTGAATATTTATGACTTTTGTAAGAACGTTATTTAAAAATCATTATTTTCATATTATGTGAAAGACATTAAATTTGAACGCGTGGTATTAAAATCTATCTGTATTGTCTCCCAGATAGGCAATAATCAATGTCCATTAACTTGCCAAATATTTTATTTCTCCATTGATCTATCATTGAACTGTTGTTACAATAGTGAAAAACAGTACTATATGATAATAGTTTACAATTGTGACAATAATATATCGTCATCGGGATTTCCCCAAGGCAAACTTTCTTTGTTTCCCCTATAACACTAGTGATCGATCAGGACATAATTGTAGCACAACTATTAACCACAAGAAGGTTGCAATGAAAATCTCACAAGCAGTGTGGATGGTAAGAGTAATATGTTATCTTCAGATATTGATATTACTTCTCACTAGAGGTTACTCGCAGTCCTAACAAATTTGCCCCTAAACACATTTACTCCAATAATCCGTGCGGCAAATGAAGGGTTAAAAGTAATGATGAAAAATGTTCAGCTGTGTCTAAATAGAGACTCTGTTAATAATAACCTGAAGAAAATGTAGTTGACACGAAGGATGCTTTTGTACTGTGGAAGTACTCTCTTCCTTTTTTATTCTCCACTATTCTTTTGTTCTGCTCTGGAAGATCCTGTTCACGATGTTCTAGTTAGTTTCAAGTAAAATGGTTGGCGTATGTATAAATTACGCCGAGGTATTCTAGGTCCCATAGCAAACATGTTGACATAACTAAAGAAGGGTTGGGAAAGTGAACTAGACTGTCCCGTATTAGTTTTCTATTTCCATTGGTCTCTGCTAGATATTCGAACTGGTCACATATTCTTGCCAGCTGCCCTCTATCGCCGCCCAGAGAACATTTTTTTAAAAAAAATTCTTAATTTTTCAGCTTACTAATAGAATAACAGAAATATCATTTTAACAATATTAAAGAACACTAATACCTCGTCCTAAATGGCAATTTTCTTTCAAACATTTGGGGAAGATTTTTCAAAAAAAGCATTTAAACGCTTCTTAAATTTGAAATTTGAACCTTTTTTAACAGAAAACTATTGAGTTTCATAGTCAAACTTCAAATTCCAAATACATTAATTCACAAATGCAATAGTGTTTACAAATCGCTGGAAATGTGCGTATTAAAGGCGTGAGAAATGTTTCAAAAAATTACATTTGTGTAGTTTTTCAAAAAATATATGAATAGAGCAAAATTAATTCTTTCTCATTTTTGATAAAATTTTGAAAATATCCCAGGGGTAGTAAAGTTCTCCCCAAAATTAATCAATGATTTTCAAAATCGCAGTGCTTCGACTCAGAGCAAGTGGACAGGGGTTTCTTCAATTTGGAAAAAATATTACGCATGGTTTAGTCACTAGTAGTGTTCACAAACGAAAGGGCGGTCGGAGAGACAGCAAAACAAAAATACACACTCTTTTATGGTATCTGAGTGCCCCAAAACCTGTATTTCCATTGAAATCTCGAAATCGATTTTACTCTGTATTACATTACTTTCCATATACTATGAATATTACTCTGTATATACTCATGTATATAGGAAAGTAAAACAAATATAAATTTTATCAAGAGCGATTATGTTATGAAACACTGCATGAAACTAAAAAATATAGAAGTGAAATTGTGTTGGAATATATGGCAATGTACGAATGCTTGTTATTACACATTGAGACCTTACATGTAATCATGTGAATATTTTTAGTGTTTCACTAATTTTTATACAAATAGTTAAAATGGAACATCTTTGAAAGAAATTTCATTAGGCAACATTTAATAATACCTACATGTAGCTAATTAATCTCTAACATGTTAATACAAGTGTACATCCATAATTGAAGAAAATACAAAATCGTTAACTGTTCATATTAATTAAAGTCATTAGACCTATAAGAAAATAACAACCAAATCTCTTTTGTATGTTAATGACTCTGTCATTCAATACTTCTCTCTTATAAGAAACGGTTTATGTTATCAACAAATGTTAAGATGATCACTAGTGAGATTTATAAATTGCAATAATTAAATAAACTGAGTTAAGTTTTGATACTGAACAACATCTTTTTTCTACTTAAACTACTATTATTTTTAATAATAAGAGTGTACTCGCCATCTTAAGCTTCAACTCTATTGTTTATAATGTTCTTAACGTACGGTGGACTCATTCCTCGCAGAGCGTTCCCTTCCTCTGTTTGGTTGCGTTAAGTCTGTAAACACAGTCGACTAGTGGACCAGACAATGCAAGAGGCAATGGGAGAAAAGAGGATTGAGTAGTGAAAACTGCACCCATGGAGAGATTTGGAGGCGAGAGACACCCTAGGGTGTGATATAACTCGCCATAGTACTGCGTTCGTAGGCTTCCGCGACCGGAGTCAATACATTCTTGGCGATCCGGGATGAGCCGCGTCTCGGTCAATGTTACTGACGTTTCGGCCATCTTGCTGTGGCCTTCTTCAGAGCTCTACTGCTCTGCAGAGCCGTTCAGCAGTGTATATTCTGTAGAAGAAGGCCAGAGCAAGGTGGGCGAAACGTGAGCACAATCGACCGAGACGCGGCTCCTCCCGGATGGCCGCGAATGTCTCGCGATAGCGCTGCTCTAGTGAGAGGACCGTAGCGCGCCTTGGTCTCCGTGTCGGAGCGCGAGCTGAGCGCGCTGGTGGCCAACGCCAGCCGCCGCAGCTCCTTGATGCTGGCGCGGATCTCCTCCGCGAAGCGCACCTTCTTGCTGCGCGCCTCGGGGCCCGCGGGCGCCCTGCCCGCCCCCGCAGCCGCGGGGGCGGGCCCAGGGCGGGCGCGGGGGCCGCGGCGGACGCGCGGGGGCGCGGGTGGGCGGCGGCGCGGCGGGCGAGGGCCGTCGCCGGGGCGGGGCGCGCGGGCGCGAGCGGCGGCCGCGAACGGGGGCAGCGCGGGGTGGACGTGGCGCCGCCGAGCGCCCGCCGCCAGCCGGGCGTCCGTGGGGGGCCGGTGCGGCACACGCTGCCGAGTAGGGCGCGCAGCGTGGGCGGCAGTGGCGGCGGCAGCGGGCGTCGCGACTGGGCGGCCGCGCACGCGGGGAGCGCGTGGGCGAGCGGGGACGGGGAGGCGAGTGGGGCGGCGAGTGAGGCGGCGCGAGGGGCGGCGAGCGGGGCGGGAGAGCGGGGCGGGGAGCGGGGCGGGAGCGGGAAGGCGGGGCGGGGCCGGAGAGCGGGAGCGTGCGGCGGCGTGGCGGGCGAGCGGGGCGGGGAGCGTGGAGGCGAGCGGGGCGGGGAGCGGGGCGGGGAGCGGAGGCGGCCGCGACATCCGGCGGTGCGTGAGGAGGGCAGGCCGAGGGGCTGGCGGATCGAGCAGCCACCCACCGCGAGTGCGGGCGTGGGCGTGGGCGTGGGCGCGGGCGTGGGCGTGGGCTGGGGGGCTTCTCCTGGGACACGTCCCGCCCGTCCTTGGGCATCCCGGGGATGTCGCTGAGGAAGTCCATCCACCTGCTGAGGGGGGACGGCGACGTGGGCGGCACGCGGGGCGGCGGGGCCGGCAGAGACGGGAAGCCTGGCAGCGCCGCGAACACGCAGGCGTCAAGGATTTTTTAATGTTTATTTACGCATCAAGAGACTTTTTTTATCTGATGATCGAGCGAATATGCCAGAAGGCCTCTGGCTCGAGATTGTTAGAACTCTTATAATGCGCGTGTTACATTCAAGTTTGTTTATCGACTTTGGTTAGGTAATGTGAAACATTATGCTATTATAATCAGTGGCGGTAATGGGGTACTTTACTGCTCTAGAGTGGTAATGAAGTTCATTACCACACTAGTGCGGTAATGGTTGACGAGTAACTTTTTCTGATTTGCAATGAACGTTTTTGTTTTCACACCAATCATTAAAAATTCAGTACTCACGCTTCTTTTTTGATTTGTATGGTAACAAAGAATCTATAGCAGCATTTGCTGCTATTTCTATTTCTGAGTCTGAACTGCATTCGCTCGTGTCGAAATATGTACACCATGCGCGATTCAATTGTTCTCCTTGTTAAGAACAGTGCCGCCACTTAAAGGGAAAAAATGTGAATACTAAATGAAATTTTAATCTTAAATTAACAAATTTTTACAAAGTGGATAAAACCTTGTACGATATTCGTGTCGTAACATCTGATTACAATACTCATTTGGTTACCAAACTCGTCCTAACAGACTCGTTTGGCAATTTTTCAATCTCTT